AATAAGACTTTTGCCGAAGCCAGTTGGCAGAACAGCAAAGACATCTTGGCTGTCAACAACAAGCTTTCGAATAGATTGACTAGTTTTTGCTGTTCTTTCAGCGTCGTGTGTCCAAACGTCTTCAAATATTTTGATAAAGCCCTTTCAAAATACTGTTTGTTTGATTTATTTTCTGCCATAAAGCGTAAAAGAAAAGAAATTCGAAGAAATTCGATAATGGAATGTGATACATGCGTTTTACCTTTATAGTTGTTGCCTTGACCGAGCTATTTTTAAAACTATTGTTTATGAGAACCAATCAAAATCTTTCATAATGCTGATCAACCAATCAGATTTCCCGTCCACCAGATGGACGGGATTCCCACAGTTTAGACTGGTTTTGTGTCAGGCCCTATTTAAAATTAGGGCCTGAACTTCAGGTTAGTCTAAACATGATTAAGTATACTAAAACAATGTATTTACGTTATAACAGGTAATGATGTCAACAAAAAAGCTCCAGGGTCATTTATTTTTTCTTTGAGAAATAAAGAAAATCTCCCGCCATTTAAAGCTCCACTGAAAAATCCAAATGACGATAATGCAGTTAGGGCCTTTTCGAATGATGGACCAATGTTTGGAAGAGGTACGGACTTGCGGATACGCGACAATGCTGCATTCAACACCAATTCATACACAGGTTTTGGTACGTCCTACCAACCACCACCTGGCGTCAGCAGCCCCACCACCATCCTGGCAGGAACTTTCCAATTCACACCATCTGACGTTGAAGTGTTTTATATGGTGTAGAACTAATCTCGATATATTCACTGAACCGAACATTGTTATGTTCGAAACAATCTTAAATGTAGTCAGCTTAGTTCACCAACAGCAAATATTGTCTTAAGCCTTGACCAACGAGATGTAAGTGGTCGAAAATTTTTAATTCTGAGTTATAAAAAGTGGAATAAGTAATTTGCTAAAGAATCACTGATTTATTGGGTTTCAATCAAGTGATATTTTGCCAAATTTGCTGCACGCGGGGTCGATCATTGTGCTGAGGTCAATTAAAACAATAAAGAAACATACTGACCGTTATCCGACTATTATAAAGGCCAATATAAAACAATAGAAATAATATAAACGCCATCCTTTACTCTTGACACAGACCCTTGGGCCCCCACGTGATGTTATATGGAACCCGAGAATACACGAAACTAGCTACAAACATATTATTATTAAGGTGTTAAACACATTTTTAAACGCAGCTAAATATTAATTTTAGCAAATTTACTTTCTACACACTTTGTGTTGTTTGATCAAATCATTCATTCCCTGTTTTCCATTGCTCAAGAGCAAAAACGTTCGCCGCTTGCGTCCCGTTTGATCTGGGCTTTAGTTTAATTAATGCAGGATAATCGCGCAGCATGTTCTATTCATTGTTTTGATAATTTTGATGAATCTCGATAACGAGATAAATAGGATTGAATAAGTTCCCAGGATTTCTTTTACTTGTTTTGTAGGCCTAAATAAGCAGTTGTTCATTCCAATTCGACTGTTTATAGGAGTTGTCGCCGACATATTTAAGCCGAGGCATTTTTAAGTTCATTTAAATGGGCCTATTGTACTGTATATCCCGTAGAGATGAAAGTGACTATGCTCGATTCATCCTGGAGAATTGTGGCGCACACGAAGGGATTTATAAATTTGAACAAATATTTTGAACAAGAAGGGATATGAGACTGACAAACGTTATACTACGTGGCTCAATTGGAAAGTTTAATGCATGATATATCCAGAAGTGAGGAAATCGAAAGATTAAATTAACAACATAAGATACGATATAACATGTGCCTAGAATGACACTTTTGCCGTTAAAGACTGAGGGCGTTTTCCATTAACACGGCCAGACCGGTCAGAATGGCCAAATTGTTGAATGAAAGACAAAACGTTTGGGCATTGGACCTATCTGATCGGAAAATTTTGATAAAATTAGAATGAGGTCCATTTTCGCCAGATATTTGAGAAACATAGGCCAGATCTTTCCACTGATACCGAGACAAAAATTCGGGTCTGACCGGTCAGGTCATTAAATGGAAAGCGCCCTGAGATATAGATATATATTAAGATAAGTTGTGCAAGTACGTGTTCAGGTGCAACATTCATCTTGTATATGTTGCTAAAATATGTATTGTTTTTAATTATCCAGTAGCTTTATAGTGTTGACTTGGTGACATAATGTACGAGTATTTCAGAATAAAATGTCGTGGGTCTATACACTGAGTTTATTTATCTTATTCGCGTATCAAAATAAAAAGTTCATCGCAATTCAACTTTTTGGCGTACTACGGAAGTACTAACCAATCAACATTCACGTAATTTTGAAATTTAAAAACGTTTTTGATACGTTACGGTACGATACGCTTGAAGTGGAAAACGGCCTTTACACTTCTGCAGGTCGGACTAAATGTACTCTGGAAAAGAAGTACAAATACGCGAGTACTTTTTATTCCTTTATTTCTACTTCCGGAGTAACTTTAACCACAATTTTACTGCTCTGGTAGTCAATTCAAATTTCCTAAAGGAGTAAAAATCACACTTGAAAAGGGATAAACTTATCGGAGTAACTATTGCGTATTCATTCTAAAAAAGGAGTAAACATATCGTAGTAATTATTGTATAATTACTCCTTAGTGTTCACCCCCAAAAAGGAGTAAACATGCCGGAGAGAGTACTAATGTATTTTACAGTGCGTCTACAGTAGTAAGTGGGGCCACTTAGAGAACACTAACCAATCACATTATATTGTAGAACAAAAATAAAAAGAATCAACAAACTGCGCATTAGCCAATCAGAATTAGGCCAAAACCAATTTGAACAAATGTCAAACGGTAAAAATAGACTTGAAAAGTAAACACTGCAGTTACTGGCTTCGTGAAGCGAACTCCATGCTTTCCTTTGATTGGACGAGCTATAGTTTGATTAAATTCTATTTCTAATTCTATATTAATTCTATTTTTGTTCTACAATGTGATTGGTTAGTGTTATCTAAGTGGCGTTAGTGGCCAGGCGCGTGGGAAGCATCAAAATATTGGGGGGGCACCGCTTCCTGGGCACTTTAGTATATTGAAAAGGCACCTAAAAAATTTTTCCGGAAATGTTAGCGACGGGGGGGTTGAGAGAAAAATTTTCCCGTCATACCACACAGAAATTGCACGTTTTTGACCAATTTTTTTTAAAAAATATGGAAATTTCCAAACAAAAAGGGCACCGTCGATGTTAATTTAGTATTTACAGCGACATTAGCTTGTACAAAAAGGACACTTTTCATCACAAAAAGGGTCACTATTAGTCCCTTGAAAAAATTGGGGGGGGGCACGGGCCCCCTGTGCCCCCCGCTTCCTACGCCCTTGTTAGTGGCCCCACTTACGGTAGACGCACTGTAATTTAAAATTTTTACTCCACAAGTAATTTTAGCTTCAACAAAAACAAAGCTAAGTCACTATCTTCACGACTCTGGAATACACAACCAAATTCTTCATTCTTTGCCGAAGGGATAAACATGAATAAGATTGAATTCATGCACAACAGAGGTTGCAAAGTGTTGAACTTAGTTGAAGGACAGGGCTGCCCTGTGGATGGGGGATTTGTTCGTTGTCAGAACAGATTGGCGCGCAAAAAAATTTAATGATATCTACATAGTCTTCCACAATAAAGAATGGATTAGAAAATTCTCCTCACCGAGCTTCCCAGTGGGTTACCGATAAATATGTGAAATCCAATATTTTGCCTCTTGACATGCATGGAAACAAAGTAATTATATGTCGCAAGCAAATTTTGCCGTCTTACAAGTTTTCAATAGCTGTTATCGTAATTGAACATGTCTGTGCTACGGACCAGCGGTATCTGCATTATTTTAACATGGAGACGAGGCTATAGGGTCATGTTTTGTGTTTTTTGACCCTTTAGCCTCGTTTTCGTGCGTCCTTCCACTGAAGCGGCGTATTCAATTACGATAACAGCTATTGGCGCATTCTCATTTCAAAATAAACTAGTTTTGTTTTTATTGTCAAATTTGAACAAGCTGTGCGCCCCCTCCCCTCCCACCAATTTCTGTTCATAAGCAGGTTCGGCTTTATCTCTGCGGCACTTACAGATCAGAGATACAATTTTTTTCATTATGCAATATTTTTCTTAAGCCGGTGCTTCAACTTTCAAATTCATATTTCCTGTTTTCCTTGAGAAATTTCCTTAAATTGCCATGAGCTTTTCCTGGAAGCACCAAATATAATATGTTGAAAATTATGCCGAAAATACGACTTCTACAATGTTTATATAAATGTGGATGCCTTTATTTTTTATCACTGTCCATCCATGATTGTGAAGTCCGGTCACGTACAGTCCTGATAGTGTTTTATTTGTACAGGAATTCTAACCGAGGAGTGTAAACTGCATGTATAATTGGCACTGTTATGTTACAAAACAGTAACAGTTTAATAGTCACATTCTTATAGACAGTGGTTGTTTTATTTTAACAATTGAGTTAATTGCTTGTAAAAACAGATTGATTGACCAATTTTATTTGGTAATATACCATAATATTGGTTGTTTTAACCATTTTTGTGGGTTGTTTTAACCAATTTATTGGTTATGTTAACCAATAAAAATTGGTTAAATGAATGCGTCTGAGACAGCCAATTTAAATTGGTCATTTCAACCAATGGACAAAAAAGTCTTGGGTGTAAAAATTGATAAAGAATTGAAATGGAAAGATCATATCGATGCACAATGTAAGAAAATTTCTAAAAATATATCCCTCCTAAGGAGGGCGAAAAACTTGACAACAGAACAAACGCTTTTGACAATGTATAACGCGCTAATTTTACCCCATTTAACCTACTGTTCCAATGTATGGCATGATGGAAATAATACAAATATGAACAAGCTTGTTAAACTGCAAAAAAGAGCAGCTCGTGTGATAATTTAATTTAATTTGATTAATTAATTTAATTATTTAATTTAATTTAATTTAATTTAATTTCGCCCCCCAAAAATGTTTTAATAATATTTACAAAAGTTTACTAATTCATTATTACAGTAGGGCTAGGGGCCTACTAGAAACCTATAAGGCTTTTGTTTAAGACCCCTAGACTATGTTATATTTACAGCAACATCATAATTTTGTTATAGACTAAAGATAATCAGTTCATGATCAGTAAATAAAGATAATTATATGTACAAATAGGACAGTTTATATCAATGCAATTTGCATTTCGTTTTCATTTGATAACAAGTGTTTTTTAATACATGTTTTGAAAGAAGTGTAAGATTTAATATTTTTGTATTTATTTAAGAGAACATTCCAAACATTTATTCCTTTGTGAGCAAGAGTATGTTTTGCATATAGTTAGTTCTCTTGAAAGTTTTGTGAAGTTGAGATGCACTTCTTGTGTTGTGGTCGTGAATTTCATAATTAGCTGTGAAATAACTGTTAAATATTTCGGGTAGATTTTCTAAATGATTATATCGAAACATAAATATACTGGTGAGATAGCAATTTATTTGTTCAATGCTTAATATTTCTAGATCTCTAAAAATTGGTTCAGTGTGTTCGAAATAAAATTTAAATGTTATTAGTCTCATTATCTTTTTTTGAATGCTTACTAACCTTTGTATTCTTGTTTTGTATGTGTTACCCCATATTAAGTTGCAATAAATCAGATATGCATGGATAGACTAAGGCATAGTATAGTAGCTTTCGAGCATTCATATTTATATAATGTCTACTTTTAGATATTATTGCTGTAGACTTCATGATTTTCTTGCGAATCATATCTAAATGGTGACTCCATATTAAGTGTTAAGTGACAACAGGTTCTAACTATGAGATACGTTCCTCTGACCTTTTTAAGAAACTTAATTGGGAACCACTAGAAACCACTCTGAAAAAACGCGAACTTGTGATGAATTTTAAAGCGATTAGAAGTTTCGCACCAGAGTATTTATCTAACCTTTTCACCGCTACTTTCAACAATGATTATAGCCTTCGAAGTAATAACAGAAATCTCTGTTTAAAAAAACCTAAGACGAATTTTATGAAAAATAGTTTCTCTTATCGTGGATCATCATCATGGAATAAACTACCTATGCAAATAAGGGATAACTATACAATCAACCCTCTATTGACTCATTCAAAAGTACTATTAATGGATATTTCAAGTCATAGATTGTTGTGTGTTTGCATGATTTATGTCACTAATAAATATATATACATATATATATATATATATATATATATATATATATATATATATATATATATATATATATATATATATATATATTATATATATATATATATATATATATATATATATATATATATATATATATATATATACATATATATATGATTTAAAACAATTATTGCATGCGATTTTGTTATTACGATATTAATTAGTTTTTAGTCTGTAGATAGTATACTTTTGTAAATAGATGCAAGGTCCTATAAAAACCAGGAAACTGATAGGTTACCGTGTTTAAACAAATTTAAATAATAATAATCTGTTTTTACAGTCATGACGCCAGTGGTGATATCTTGATAAAAGAACTGGGTATAAAAGGAGGGCAGATTGTCAAATTAAGGATTGCTATAATATATAAAAATACAAAATGAGAGTACAATTTTAAACTGGCGCATTTATTTCGCCCGTTAGGGTAAATATTTCCTTTTTTGACGCCAAAATGAGAGAAAGTTTAAATTAAAGTATCCCCCTGCATAAGGAATACGTTTACTCCACTTTTAGTATATTTTTTACTCAAAATGAGAGTAAAACTTTTAACTAGGGTATTAATTACTCCTGTGAGGGTAAATATTACCCCGCTTTGGGTATATTTTTTACTCCAAAATGAGAGTAAAATTTTAAGCTAGAGTATTTATTAGGCCTACTCCTGTTAGGGTAAATATTACTTCATTGGTGAGGTAGAAAGTACTCTAAACATAAAGTTAAAATATTTGAGTAAAGAAATACTCCAAAAACAAAGTCAATTTATACCTTTGTTTTACTTCTTTTTTGTAGTGGTATCTATACTCGAATTTTGGAGTAGTACTGCAGTATCTAGTGCGGTGAGGTAAAAGCTAGGACTGAGAGGCAACGAAATGCATGGGCGTACCGGGCGGGGGGCGGAGGGGGCGGCAGCCCCCCCAGTTTGTTGGGCAAACAAAGCCAGTCGGGCAATATTCACTTCACAGTCGTGCAATATTGGCTTATTATAAAAATAAATGGGACAAATTCTGTCAATTTTGTGGGAAATTCTGTCAATTTTGTGGGAAATATGCTATCTAATAGGTATTTTTCGTAATCACCTTCCTCCTTCCCCCCCCCGTCGACAACAATTTCGGAAAGTTTCTCCGGAAAATTTTTTTGACAACTCGGGCACAATCCGAAAAAGTTGGCCAAATTTCTTTCCGCCCCCCTAATTTTTTCCTTCCCGCACGCCCATGACGAAATGCGAATAAGGAAGAACCTCTTGTCAAATCGAGTGCGAATCTCACTTCCACATCAGATATGATTTGTCATTTGTACAATATACCAGGCTTGGAAATACACATATATGCTCGCAGAATTCTTCTCAAATAATGTTTCCTTTCGCAACAACAACGAGAAACTAATAGAACATCTTCTAACATGTCATGCAGCCATACCAGAATAGATTTGTGGTGGATATATCATTATGGCAACAATTTACTTCATTTATGCATAGCGGACGCACTATCCATGCAGCCCTTTTCAGAGCAGTAATACTGAAACAACATCGTTCGCCCAGTGGTTTTTCACTGCATAATACATCATGTGTGTTGAAAGAATAATGTCTGAATTCTGAAACATAAGCGGTCAACATTAACTATTATGAAATAAAAGTAAACTTAGCTATATGGTTGAATAAACAACGAATAGACTTCCAGGCGGTTTTAGAAATTCGAGTTCATCAAAACAAAACTGAATGATTATGAATTATGAAATATTCACCTTTTCTTGGTTTATTTCCATGATCTAGATATAATTATATGGCCTGGATCTTGGCTCTCTTAAGTATATTGATTTATCCTACGAGCATAACAATCAAATTATATATATATATATATATATATATATATATATATATATATATATATATATATATATATATATATATATATATATATATATATATATATATATATATATATATATATATATATATATTATAAAGTAA